CCCCCCAATTTTTTTTTGATGAAAACGAATTCGTCATTGAGATTTAGCATACCACATATTTGCATATTTGTGCAGAAAAAATAATCTCATCTTTCTAGCGTGAACGGTAAATATATCGTAAAAGGTTTTAATTTCATCATGTTGTCATTGCCGCATTGCGGCATCAGTGTTTCCCAAATTCGTGATGTCACGTCATCGTTTAGCCATTGTGACGTCGCACCCACGTAAGATGGACTCAGCAAGCATGGTTATCTTACATGGCCAGCATTATCTAACAAAAAATGGTGCAGCAGCGCAATGACAAAAATTGACTTTGAAGTCAGTTGTCGCTCCTCAGATCTTCAAAAGACAGGTATCAGCCTAACGAATGGTCAGCTTTTTTTTTTTTTTTTTTACCTGAAACCAGTCAAATAGCGACTGTAACCACCTACCTTTAAAAAAAATTGAATTCCATGGTTGCAGAGAATGTAAGTGAAGCGTAACTCCTGGAATTTCATGGATGGTACCTTTTGTAATTGCACAAAAAGTCTCGAAATTTCAATTTGCTTAAAGCTGGATGTTGCATTTTTCCATAAAGATTATGTTAAGCCTTTATTTTGATACCTACGTGTCCTAATGTACTAATATTGTTACAAATAATAGTGTAGTTCTACGTTTAATTGTGCATATTATATGTGAATATTTTTTTTCATTTCAATATATTGAATCAAAATACAGAAACACGATCAAGTTACAGGCATAATATAATCATGTGTTGATACTTCTTTTACCCATGAATAATTAAAAGGTTTTCTTCGTTTTTGATTTATCTATTTTACTTATGATTTGTTTGCAGTGAACCTGACTGCCGTTCAGCCCTTGACAGCCTTCACCCGTTTCATGGTGCAGGCCGTGTACATCAACAGGGATGGTACGGTCAAGGACAACACGCCACTCGGCAGGTTTATAGACCTTGACTTCAACAGTACCGACACCGGGCTAAGGGGGCGAACAGAAATTACCTGTGCTGGAGGGGTAAGTGTACTCATAAAAGGCACATATATTATCTGCACTATGCTTATTTGTGCTAGCGACGGTTTGTGTGGGCAGATGAAGTGTACATGTATCTAGGGGGCACACAGAAATTACCTGTGACGCAGATTAAGTTTATCGGGAGAGGCATGGGGGCACACAGAGATTACCTGTGAGGGAGAGGCAGGCAGGCACACAGAGATTACATGTGAGGGAGAGGCATGGGGGCACACAGAGTTTACCTGTGAGGGAGAGGAAAGGGGCACACAGAGATTACCTGTGAGGACAAACTACCTACTGATCCAAACGTACGTATGACATGGATCACTGTTTATCCTGCTGTGTATTATCACTACAACACAATAAGAAAGTGCACTAAAAGGCATGCAGATATTATCTTTGTATGCAGGATTAATTTTACCTCTAAGGCATTCAAAGTTAATCTGTGTGGGCAGGGTAATTATTTATCGGGGCAGACAGAGATGACCTGCTTGGGTGGTGTGTGGGGGTTTGTGTATTTGGAAGAATGGGAAGGTTGGTGTAAATGTCTACACTGCACCTGTCCAGAATTCTTGTCGAAAGTGGGGCAACTAATTAAAGTATTTTAGAAATATTTTTATCCAAATAAACAGACATTTGTTCAACTCTGTGAGGGCCTGGTAATGTTTACATGTATACCAGTAGATTGCATTTATGATAGGTAGATATGCACAGCTACATACATTAATGTATATTTATTGCTAACAAACCTGCTTATATAATATAGTCAAATACTTGAATAATAAACAGTACAATATATCACACCTGTAATGGCTGCGGTCATGTCTGGAATAATTGATCAATTTGAATTGACATGCTAAAAGTGTTGATGCAGAAATAATGAGTTCACACACAGGTGTGCCTGGAATTCAATCTGCCTGCTTCATGTTGGAAGGGAACAAATAAGTCACTGTGAAGACTTTGTATAGGAGTTTATATCTAGATGGTTATTCATCCTTTCTCTGTAGTAATAATACCATTTGTAAATTTACTTTCCTTGATGGGGCTCTACTGAATACTGTTGGGTATCCTTCTTTGATTCCTACAACTAACTACCTACCACCGTAGAAAACAAAGATGTTGATTCTCTCCCACTCCAATAGATAGAGTCCAATCATTACTGCTGTATCAATAATGGTTACATGTAGTTAAAATTATAATGTCTTTTCATTACAGCGTGCCATAAAACAAAGTAACGCCAACCAAGCGAAGAAAAACGTACGTTTGGTATGGAAACCGGACGTGACTATGAAGGGACCAATTGTGTTCAGGTATTGTGACCAGAACATATTTACAGTTATTAACATCTTACAGAACACCACCTAAATGTATTTTTATTTTGTGCAATGCTTAGTCCTCATATTTAATTTGAATTTTATTACCTCTATATTGGCCACCTGAAAGTAAGAGAAAGTTAGACCCTGTTAATTGATTTCCAATCTGTAAAGTGTAGGTTAGGGATATTCATTTTAAAACGTGTAGTACACTCCCACAAGTTTGTCCCACAAGTATTTTGCAGAAATAAAAAATAGCAATCGTACAACAAGAACGACTAACGAGGATTGAAGGACATTTTTTCGATTTCATGAAAATTGAAAAAAAAGAAAGTTCAATCCTTTTATATATATATTCTTAATGTTTAATTGTTATTTACCTTAATTCATTCACCCCTGAAGACACATTTGGACTCTTCCAATTTAATGGTTGGAATATTTGATTATGAAATTTCATGGGTGAATGAGTTGATATAGATATTATTCAATTATAGCCTTTGGCTGAGGTCGACACCTGGATTTATCGACCCGAGAAAAGATATATTGACAGAGGACGCAGTCCGAGGTCAATATATCTTTTCTCGGGTCGATAAATCCAGGTATTGACCCAAGTCAAAGGCTACAATTATTTTATTATTTTCAAAACAGAAATTTTAGCAATCTGAAAAAAAGACAGCAAAAAGCTAAGGAAGCGGGACGATAAGTTTGTTTAAGACGCGCCATTATTCTATTTTTAGAAACACCCAGTCCTTCAACAAAAATCACGCGCTCCTAGTCAATATCGTTTTTTATCGGTGGGCACGTGATTCACTTTTGGCCAATCACTTGTCGGGAATAATATGAAAATATAATAATCCCTTATATTTTGATATTGAAGTGTCCGTGTTGTTAGTGAATACGAGATTCTTGAAGCATCCTCATGACACCAAGGTTTGCTTCTTAAAGTTGACATGTTATTCGAGGCGGAAGAAGGTTCAAAATTACGTTGATCAAATTGCGTTCATAGTTCTATGAATGCAATTTCTTCTGGTAATGCTTATAGATGAACTCAGTGAAAATGTAAATATATATGAATGAAGAGCAGTGAGCTGCACGTAGTTTTAACTTCCCACAGTATTTTACAGAGGTTCACATGGAGCGTGTTGACTTATTGTTTTCTATGATAAGATAGATAGGATTGTATTGTATTTACCTGCAGACTCCTAGGATAAGGAATGATCAAATCTGTATCATTGTTATGTTTTTAGATTTTACTGTAATTTTTATTAACTTTTAAAGACCTTTTATGGTGGTTCAAACAACAGTTGGATTATTTACTCAGACTGTACCTTTGCACTTTGTATGGACAAATTTTTATCACGAGACACCTTTTCTCGAGTGTCAAACTTTTAGAACATAATATCACTGCAGAATATATATCGGTAGATCTGTATATAATGTCACTGTATTCGCAGTCCTTTGATGTGCGTGCCGGTATTGGGCTTGCTTCACGGCCAGACAAACCCACGTTACATGCTTCAGTGAGCTTCTATACTAAAGCACAGTAACACCGATAACCTGCCCCAGCTGTTTGTTTGCTTAGTGGCTGCTTTTGTCTGAGAGAAGTGAGGGGCAGACAGGACAATGGCATGTATCTCCGATCAGGTGTCTCCCTATCTTGGCAGCCGACACCGTCAGGGTTCCACATCACTGCAGAATAGGCAATGGGAGATAACCCATGCTAGATTTTCTTAAATTTGAGTATCGGAATATTTTTAAAAACAACATACCAAAAAAAATTCCTGATCAAAACCTGCATGGGGATGTAAAGTTTCCATTGCACATATTTTTTTGACTATACACGTAAATAAGAGCATCATTCATAAAAACATATTAATTTTGTGGTTTTGAAATAAAATACCATTTCTGATAAAAAAAAAATCTCCTCTCCTTATGTACAGTAGATATATAGGTACTCCAACTTTTATGGTTGTAACTGAATTGATACACAAACTATTGCTCAGAAGCGTGAAAGCTTCATTTTAATCCTGTATATGTTGATTCATCATAAAAGTTTATAGAGTTTCATTTTGGTTGATACCAGTATGTAAACCTACCGGTAACTCTTTCGAAAGCATGATTAGAATCAGGAATTTGTAATGAGTCTCTTAACAATTAACCTAAGGTAAACCAAACACTCAGGTATTTCACTTTTTTTTGTTGCTATAACATACCTGTATAAAATCAGGTATTTCACTTTTTGTGTTACTATAACATACCTGTATAAAATCAGGTATTTCACTTTTCATGTTACTATGATATACCTGTATAAAAATCAGGTATTTCACTTTCGTCTTTTTACAATATTTTACTTGTATAAATCAGAACTTTGTAATCCAAAAACCTTTCTATTAGGCACATAATTATCCTCATGTTGTTTGGGTCATAAAGGGACTTACACATGGTGTTCTGTTCACACAGGTCTGATAAGTTCAAGTTGTACAGTATAACCTGTCTAAACCAGCCCCTGTCCTGTCCGTATATCTGTCTATATCAGCTTGGATACTTGGTTCCAGCATCTCTTTATTTTGTGTTAATGCTGTATACAGTCTATTTTTACCAGCCTTGCCATAAAACAATGTTTAAACCATCTCAATTGAGTATCTTGTTTATTTTCTGTTCTGAAATCAGTGCTACATTTCAAAGTACAGTATAATGATTTTACATCAACACAATTACTGGTAGATACAATTGTGTGTCTTTCCTCTTCAACAGGACCACATTTATTCAGGACGGAAATCGGTTCTGGGTGCGAGAACTGTCCGAGCCTGTCATTGACAAGAACGGTCCTCCCATGGACAAACTACCTACTGATCCAAACGTACGTATGACATGGATCACTGTTTATCCTGCTGTGTATTATCACTACAACACAATAAGAAATTAAAGAGGAGTCTATTCAGAATTAAATCTTAAATTTTTTAGGACTCTTTTATTCTGTAGCTTGTTTTGTGAAACACAGATTTATGTGCTGTGATGGTATTGGGTTTTGGAAACGCTAAACAACTGATAAACTATTCTCTCACCCTTGACCGACAAAGCCATGCTATTTCTAGTGTGAGATTTTCTTAACCCATGTACTTGGGCGTGTGGTTGTTGCTAGAGGTGGTAGGGGGAGGGTTCACTTGGGATGGACATTTTGCAGGGCAAAAATATTACAGTTTGCATTGATAGGCTTATAGAAAAAAGCATTTTAGAAACTTGTGTCTATATATAATTGACAATAAATGAAAGAGATAGAACAGTTCAATGTACAGACAACAGATTGAACCATTCTTACATACTATTAGACTGGCCATCGCCTCGAAAATATTGAATCATTAAGAAAAAACTATAACTCTAATAATTTTGATCACTTGGATGTCTGGTTCGAAGTTCTAAACTAAGGGGAGATAAGTTAGTAGTAAAATGCAGTCGAGAAATTCTTCATAAAAACAGTAGTAAAATGCAGTCGAGAAATTCTTCATAAAAACTAAGGGGCTGGTAGCCAGTCTATAGCTAACATACTATGTATATATCACATCCCCACAACCTGTCCAGGCCCTGTCCCTCATGAAGCTAGAACTTTTGTGTAATATGTTGTTTTCTCCATGCAGAGGCTGCCTTTGATTGATCCCATAAACACTCGGGACTGTGGGTCCAAGAAGGGCTGTTACCGAATCCCTGAGGGCTGCTGGGAGCCCTACTGTCAGTACATTGCCACCTGGGTCCATTTAGGAGGCAACAGGTACAGGTTTGAGGTGGGAGGCATCACGGACGGAATCACTGACCGATACGTGTCACTCGCCATCTCGAACGACATCAGATGGGTAAGATATGTACATAGCACAGGCTAATTTAGACAACATCAGATGTGTATGATGTGCATGTGTCGTTCAGTTGACAATCAAATGGATCAGGGAATAAACAAGTCACACAATGTCCAATGTTTATTTGAGTTAAATCAAAAAGAAAATAGGAAAAAGATATAAGTATAAAGACTTTGTGACACTCCTATAGGAATGGAATAGCTTTCATTGCTTTTAAAATGTCATTGCCTGTTTATTTGTTTTATTGAGACATCTATAAAGACTATTGTTGTTTGTGTAAATGTTAATCAGTATTTTTGTTTCAACACTTTCCAGGGCGGAGACTTGGTGATGGAGTGTGTCCACAACGGGGCCACAGGTCTAACTCAGGTCTACCTCGCCGAGAGTGTTGACCACCACACTCATAGACTCAAAAATGTAAGATATGACTCATTGCTTAAACCAACTCAGGTCTACCTCGCCGAGAGTGTTCACAACCACACTCACAGACTCAAAAATGTAAGATGTAACTCATTGCTTAAACTAACTCAGGTCTACCTCGCCCAGAGTGTTGACCACCACACTCACAGACTCAAAAATGTAAGATATGACTCATTGCTTAAACCAACTCGGGTCTACCTCGCCGAGAGTGTTCACCACCACACTCACAGACTCAAAAATGTAAGATATGACTCATTGCTTTAACGAACTCAAAAGACTCAATAATGTAAGTTAGAACTTATTGCTTAGACAGACTCAAAACGAGAACCACTACCCACAAAGTCTAAAAAAAAAACCAACACTTCTTGCAGTGACTGGTAAATTCGTAATTCAACATTTTATTTTGAGGTCACAGAAAATGACAATTTTTCTTGTAAAATAATTGATTACTACATTAATCTCAAGTATATCTTAAATAAGAACAACTTATAACAACATTGATTTCTTATTCTTGTTGAAAGCTAAAATAAGTCTCCACTGCTTTAATAACACAGATATTCACAGTAGATCATGGAACTCTGGCTGTACCGCCACAGAAATCGCAAATATTAAAACAGCAAAATCATGAACTACCGGCATATGAAAGATTGTATCAGCAAATACGGTTGTAAATGTTACCTGCAAAAGTAAAAACCTGGAAGTGTTTGATGTTGTACAGTAACCAATAACTTTGTAGATTTAGAAAGATCTAACAGAGGAGATTCTTGCATTGTATTGTGTTGGTACAGAATTGTTTATCTACCGTATTTACCCTGCAATGAGCCCGGACAGGGGGCCCGACACATAATTACTGACTAACAGAAGGGGGGTTGGCTTATTACAGGACAATGAAAAAGGTTTTGTTTGCATTTCTTCCTAACTGCAATATATATTGGTGGACTTAATTATTACCAAGCATGGGTTTATTGCCGGATATATATAAGGTCAATGTAAGAGAGGTATTGTTTACATTGTATTTTGTTTCATTGCAGCCCAAAGCAGGTATCATATCTGAGGAAGGTCAGTTCCTTAACGGTCGACTACGATGTCGGTTTGAGAAGGTGCCCCACCCAGATACCAAGGACTACCCCATGTCTGGTTATAGCCATCTCATCATGTCCAGGGGCGTCGCAGAGTCAGGTAATATAACGTTTATTTACAAGGGAGACAACTTAGTTCTGAGGCTTTACAATAACTGTGACATGTGCACTAATTTAGAGAATCTATTTTGAGACTCCATAAATGTAAACATTTTTTCTAAAGTAAAAGACTATTAAGAATATTCATTTATATTTATTTTTTTAGAGTTTATATAATACGATATATTTTTCACACGAAAATTGCATATGAGACAAGATACATGGTTCCAAAATCGAAGACTTGGCACTTGTCGGAGAAAAACATGTTTATTAGCAAATAGTCGCATGCATATCTGGTACTGGGATTAAAAGGGTAATAATTTCTGATAAGATGACTGAAAGTCTTTGGCAGAATCTCATAAAAAAGGAAAAAATATCTAAATGCACTTCATAAAATCTCATATTAAAAGAAACTCATTTAAGATCCTGTGAAGGAGTGCTGTAAGGGAGATAACCCAGAACAATGCTATTTTTTTCCCAGGTGAAACAGCTGCCCATGGGTTTGGTGTTGGGGAGATTCCTCTATCCTCTCCTGATCAGATCACTCTCTCATCTACCGCCAACGTTGGTGACTACGCCCGCTACGCACTTGTAAAGGGCCACGGTAAGTCAAGTGTACATTTTATAAGACTTGAAATGGAGGCAAGCGTAATGAAATAAGGCCAAGAGTTCAAATGTGTCTTCGGGGGTGAATGTGTTGATAATTGCCATAAGGCATTTCATTAAAAGTGATCAATAATTGGTACTGGTACATACTTTGTGATGGTACTGACTGCTGTGGAAACAATTCTTACTGAAACTAGTTACCTTTGTGTTGTGATGTATGTACCTGTTGTAATTAGTGTTGTCTGTCTGACAGGTATCCTCATGATTTTGGCGTGGGCTTTCTTCGGCACTACTGGCCTCCTCCTCACCAAATACTACAAACCTATGTGGCCAAACAAGCGTTTCTATGGCCAGAGGTACTGGTTCATTGTAAGTAGCATCAAAATACCATGACATATTAACATAACATGATTAGATTTATAAGTAGCCACAGAACCAGTGGTGCTTATATTACCCTGTTGTGACAACACTGGACCTGCTGCGATAAGGACCCCCGTACTATTGCCTGACACTGTAACTTAACAATGGAAACTGATATTAACGGCTTGACTATAGCTTTGATAAATCATTTCCGAAAAAAACCACCTCACCTTTGCAAGACTTACGAAAAAGTAATAGAGGTGAAATAGGCAAAAATAATCTGCATCCAGTGATCAGAGAGTTCAGCATGGCTAGATCAGGATTTGGACCCTAAACTTAAACTGTTATACTGTCACTCTGCCTGGTCAATGGAAGTGTCCTGCCCAACTATGCTACAGTTAACCCTTTCACCCCTATGTAACTTTAGCAGACTCTATCATGCATTGATCTGAATGAGTCCATTATGGTCTACAGTGGTGAAAGGGTTAAATCCAAAATGAAATGAAGGGGAGGTAACTGTATATATAAAAAATACTACAGTGAAATTCTCTAGCGTTTTGTCTGCATTGGGATGGGAATCTTTAAGTCCTATGCAGGAATACTCCTGGAGGGGTCTATGGGGCCATTGACCCCTCAAAACTGAAATTGATACCTTCCTGTTCCAGTTTTCTTTTAATTTTACATAGAATGGCCCCTCTTAATTTTGATATTGACTAAAATTGCTGAAAATGGTGTACTGCTGTCAAATTCCAGAATTTCCCCTGCCTTTGTTTACCTGGGCCTTTATTCATAAAACTTCACATGCTCAAGCATGGATCTGAGCTCAGGCTAACCTTATGTGTAACAGTCATAAGGTCAAGTGTAAACATTGAAAACAGTATTCTGCTTCACTTCTCCCCTGAATTCTTCCAAGTCGTAGAAAAAGTGTGAAGTATTATTGATTTATTAACGGAACACGAATATGGCCTTGAGCACAATATCTGAGTTCGGTTTCATGAATGCGTGCTCTGGTGTTTATAAACACCAGACCTGTTGTGTTGCGTTCTGTGTTTACACTCTGTTATAAACATTAAACTTGTTGTGTTAAGACCTGTTGCGATACATCCTGTGTTATAAACATTATACTTATTGTTTTTTAGGGTCATCTGAACTGTATGGCGTGGCTGTTCCTACTGGTCATCATCGGAGTAATCCTCATTTTTGTGGAGGTAGGAGGATACAGTATGGCCGACTACCTTCCCTATAAGGCCCACCCCATCTTGGGTATCATCATTCTCATCTGTGTAATCCTCAACGTAAGTGTATATTGACATTTCTGATAACAGATTCATTTCTTTAAAATCATGGATAAGAAACTTCCACTTACTTAAAGATGCAAAAGGTAGCAGTGTGATAACCTATGATTTGTATCAAATTAATACATTTTCTTTCCCCTAATTCAATCCAGAATTGTGTGACCATGAAATGTTAAACTCTCGAAAACTATTTTTTCATCAGTGTTACTGGCAGATGTGACAGTTTTGTCATTAACCAGTTTTAAGATTAAGACTATTTCCTAGAATTGATGATTAAATTCAACCGCAGGGATGTTACCGTACCTGACACTACAGGCTGACATCTTTATATGTTGTGATTGTTACTGCCACTCCAGCACTGGTTCTAAGACTCTTAGGAACAAAGGTGTTCGATTACTTCATTAAACTTGTTTCTGTTTGTGTAGCCCATCATCGCCCTGATCCGACCAGAAGATGACCACAGATGTCGCCCAGTCTTTAACTGGTTCCACTGGGCATTTGGCACTATTGCCTGGTGTCTAGCAAGTAAGTTGAAACCATATATACATGTATGTGTATATTCCATGTTGAATAAAAGTCTGACAATTGTTTTGAAAAGCATAAGTGTATATCCCTCATTTAACAGTCTGAATGTTTAAAACAATTATGCAAAATATTTGAATCAATGATCAACTTCTTTTGTGAACCATTTGTTAAAACCCTTTCATCCCTATGTAACTTCAGTAGACTCTACCATGCATTGATATGGATGAGCCCACTATGATCTACAGTGGTGAAAGGGTTAATCATTTCTCTCATTAAGTTTAAGTGATCAACAGTTTATGATTCTAGTGATTTATAAACTTTGATTGGCACATTCTTTGCATCATGATATTTTCTTAAGTGTTGTTTGAAGAAGGTGATGAGTTGTTTTATAACTGAAATGTCGTCGGTTTGTTAACAGTCCCTGCCATGTTTATCGGGATGGACTTCGGAAAGGCGATGGTGCCGTGGTGGGCAACATGGATTCTGTGTATCTACATCCTGTTCCACATCATCGTAGAGATTACGCTTGAGGTCCACCAATGCTGTACACACAAGAAAAATAAAGGTAAACAACCGCCCTTCTGTCATAATATGGTTAAGCTTGTTATCAGTTCAAACCTGTCTTAACTGACAAATTGATATCAACATTTTCAGCTGTTTTGGACAAATAGGAAAACTCTGTCGTCCGCAAACAGCTCTTGTTACTTTAGTACCTTACTAAGTATACACAAATATTTGACCATATTTTGTATTTACTTGCTGTTCTATAAATTATCAATATGCGTATGACAGTAACATGTTTGTGTAATGTGTATTTGACCGTTAAGTATAAGTGTATTTGACAGTTAAGTATAAGTGTATTTGACAGATAACAAATATACTTTTGCTTTGTTCCCTCAAATATGGAGTGATGACATCTTGCTATTCTTTATTCACAGAACGAAGGAAGAAATACGAATTCCAGAAAAGAGACAATCCCAAAGCACACATCCCAGAGCCTGAACCAGTTGTAAGTATGACAGATGAAGGAGTTGATAAGGTAGCTCAGCTGGTTAGAATTCAGAAGTCCTGGGTTCAAATCCTGCTCTGGCAGTTGCATTTTCTATTTCCTTCTACTTTCGGTGCTCGGCTAAATATTCTCACAAAAGACCATAGAGGATCTTGTGTGCCTCAAGTATGAAAGACTTAGTTAAAGGAGAAATGTAGCAAAACTGGACTTATTATTGTGTTGGTGATCTGGCCCCGTACAGTACCATGCTGTTGACCGACGACACCGTGTCAGTTATGAGTCAGAGTTCACTCATAACACATTCTCGTCGCTTTGAATTTACACGATACAGAGCAAGCAAGAATTACAAGTATCATAATATATACATGTACATCTTATAATCACAGTTGGATTTGAATGAAAACAAACAGGTTTAATCAGAGTACGTATGCACACACTGAGAGGTACCGCAGGGAGAAGAAAGTATGATATTGATATGTTCAAGCGTAAAATAGATAACTCATTTATAACGATGATTGGGATGCTGTTTGGAAGGTGTTTTGTGATTCAGAATAAATGCATGTACTTGTATTCTAAAAAGCTAGTTAAATAAAGCAAGAATTTACCTTCTTTCCTCGGCTGGAAAGACATTTTAGTTAGCTAGAACTTCACCGACAGCTGCCGCTAAAACGTACAGTTCAGGATTTCTGCATTACTCATTAAAATCGACAATAAAACATTGTCTATTGTCAATTTCACGACATGAATTGTTCATGAGGAGTATCAAACTATATCATCATGAAGAATTTTTTGACAATATTATGAAAAAATCTAACTTCACTGAATTGTCCGTTTAACGTTGCAGGGCCGGAGGTTCAAGAGGAATATGCTGCTTGCCCACTTCATTGTGACGTGTATCGTGGCTCTCATCATGGTCATCTCTATAGCAGCAGCCTAAAATGACCCCAAGGCTGGGATGACCGATGTCCACGTACTCAGGACACCTTCATTGGTCATCTGTCATCATGTGATATTATAGTAATGGTGCTTTGACTGTAGGGAGGGGGGGGGGATGATAGGGTCCTTTCACTTTGGGGGACAGGAACCTTTCACTGTAGGGGGCGCTTTTCCTCATAGCTGAATGCATAGAAAATTATGGCCGGTGTGTTATTTGTTCAGATTTACGGAGGTAATTTAAAATCATATCAGTGTCATTGGACAGACAAAACATGGTACCATACTACTATAGTGGAAAGTTTATTGGTAAAAACAAGAGTTTGAGTAACTCTAATTAAAAGAATGCCATGTTATAAATTAATTTCGATTTCAATACATTTGTACATCCTCCAATGTCTTATTGTGCTAGAAATGGAGAGGGTGTTTGATATCACTGAAATTTCAACGTGTTGCCGTCTACTGGTATTCACAATATACAAATGCAAAAGTAGCGCACATTTAGAATCAAATTGTTTTAAGAATTTATTGGCAACTTACTGTAAAAAAAATTCATTCTACATCGTGGAAAAAACACCTAGTGTAGCAAATCAATGATGCTTGTGCGAAGTCATCTGTAGTATCAAGCTACGCATCGTCGTTACGCGAACGCCCAGTCAACGTAGTATACATATTACACCTATGTGAGGGAGTGCATTCAGTGTTGCGCGTGTCATCCTTGTACAAGTGTCTTCACGGCTGATCAGTATAATAGTAATATATTTGAAAATGTTGTTATTCGGCTTTAATTTGTATGCCATATTAGTTTTTGTACCATCATGTTGTAATTTACCGTTCCAATGTCAAGTGTAAATAGTTCAATTTCTGACCTTCCGATGAAGAGTAACATTTTCAATTGTTGTGTATCTTACAAAGACATCAAAATCAAAACTATTTTAAATCAAAAATTTCTGTAGATTTTTTAAAAAATATTTTTGTATAAAACTTAAGAATTTGGGTGTAAAAATTTGCATTACCACTGCTGATAGAACATTTTGTTATATCAGAAGAAAACGTGCCTTAATGTTCGCATGGAGTAATTGTTAGTGGACTCTGTGTCACTAAAATAAACGGACGATACAGGAATAGAAATATAAGCACATATAATGAAAATGTACAGGAAAATGTATTTTATGAGAGTTACACAACGTTTCCCTAAACCTGTGAACAGTTGACGATTATTTTACGGGACTAAAACAACTTTGCCGTAAACCTGTTAATGAGTTGGTGAGTCATTGTGAGGTTTTATTGACATCACATGTAAATGTACCTGTGTTACTGTTTGGAGATGAAGAGTGTACCTCTGTATACTAAGAAATAATTGTCACACAGTCTTTTTCAACCTGCATAATGACCTCATGACACAGCTAATTACTTCACATAGCATTTCCATTGTGTAGGGTAAAATTTACACAGGGTGATTATAGATTATATTTGAGAAACGCAAATTTGTCACTGGATGTAGGTTTCCTGTATGTATATATATACAACATATACTTCAAATAAACAGTCTGAAGAATCTCCTAGAAGAGATGAAAGTACTAAAGACTCGTTGAGAATTTTTCTTTTTATAATATATATATATATATCAATATCAGTGCTGTGGTTTTTGTATGGAAGGTCAAAATACAGTTAATGTTCTAGTTCTACTCATCTGTTTGTGATAAAACTATAAAACATCTAATCATTATTATATATATATGCACACAAAATGAAGGGAAATGCATGATATTATGACAAACCTAGCATTTACCATTTAAAACCCAGAGCCAGCATTTCCACATTTTACGTTTGTCAGCAGTGTTATGCTAAACATTTCCATGCCAGTGTTGTATATATCTCATTGTAAATTTGTTGTAGTAAGCGTGACAGTGTAAGCGTGAGAGTGTAAGCATGAGAGTGTAAGCGAGTGTAATTATTTACTCCAAATGTCTACTTGCTCTTGTACAGGGCAAGTCCTCATTGTAACGGTTGTAGCAGGGTCTATAAGGTAGAAGGGTCGGTACCTGTACGTATTGAGATCTGACTATAAATGTATATAAAAATGTAGAGCATTTTGTTGTACAATTTAGATTATACTGCTTTTCAAAAGATATAATGTAGTTAGATATGTATATAGAAATCGTATGTAAACTGTATAAATCCAATAGACTCCACAGACAGTACATGTTAGAGGTTAACTCTGTCACTGCAGGTTTTTAAAAAGTTTTTAACGTTCACATAATTGACATTTTACTAGGTTTACCATTTTAAGTACTGTACATGTAGTTTGTATATGGAGTTGAATTAGTCCAAGATGTATGGAAACCAAATTGAATTTTTTTTTTTCAAAACTTTGAGGAAAAGATGGATCTGGTTGTTCAAAGTACTTTCGGTTAGACCAATCAAGCTGTTTTTAATTACAATTTTTACAAAGTAGATCTGCTACTTTCACATAAAAACTTTGTGGAAGACCTCCATTTCTTTCAAATTATTTTGGTCCACCCTTTATTTCCGGTTTTTGGTCCTTTTTCACCACTTGACAGAGTTATCCCACTTGCACACACGTCTGTTTTCGCCTTGTGATGTTCAGTGTCTTACTGAAGTTAGTCAGTAGCTTAACTGACTAAACAAGGTCTAGACCTGTACTCACTGGTGAGCAGTCTAATGGGTTATTTGTGGTAAACTTGGATTCTGACAGAGATTTGTCTGTGATGGTGTCATTTATGATTAATCATTATGTATGCTGTGTGGTCAGCACAATACTGACCATATTACTTCATTGTTGACTGTTTTGTGACTGTTGTTTACCGTGTTAGAGAGATTGTTTTAATATATTGTATGTGTTATGACTGGACTCAAATAGGATTTAATCTTTAGAATGTGTTTTAATAGAAAATGTTTGTCTTAATTGCAATAAATAAGAAAAAAATTCAAACAGAAGTATTTTGTCCAATCCCCCACCCTATGAACTAACACTAAGTTATCTGATTTTGCAGATATACATGTGCAGTATCTAAGTACTTGTCAGTCAGGAGAAATTGTAATCTACCCGTGGATAAAAACTAGTTACGAGCGAAGATTAGATAATAATTTGGAATTCCTAGTAGACTTAACTGATCCAGTATTATATTTGGCCGATATATGATGATCACATAATATATAGTACATGAATATGTATTAGCATATCAAGATTTCCTTGAGGGGCTTGAGATTAGAAGATAGTAAAATAGCATTTAGTTATGATACTCCATAATGGGGGTATAAACTTGGCCCCGAGCATGGGCTAAACACCAGCAAGATGTAAATAGCATATATTATAACATAATAGCATACAACATTTATAAATACAAAATAGCTTTAAACGTACTGTATTAGCGAACACCAGAACTGGCTGCTGGTGTGTCGACACAGTAGACCTGATCTGCCCCAACTAACTAGACAACTACGGTATATTGATAAATGTACATAGCATGTGCAAGTTTTATTTATGTGTCAATTTTTATATCTATATATCTGTATTTTTGCATAGGAATGTGCTTTGAAGTGGTGTATCTGATAGCAAAGTGTGAATGGACAAATTTATTGCTTTTACAAAAAAAATACATACATATATTTACAACATATATCTAGTTTCTTTTTTCTTTTCCTTTTCTCTTCTTTTTGTTCAAGTTTTAAAACATACATAATATTATTTTTTCTGTGAACTTATTTTCTCTTTTTCTTGATCTAGAACTAAGCATATTATAATTTTTATTGAAGTGAAGATCTGAGTCCACCAGGTTATCTATCTCAGGAGATAGGGGGTCACTCTATTTTACATTTTACAAATGTATAGAATTGTTTTTACGAAAATAGATGACTGAAAAAATGATTTGTGATATTTTTATGCATACAGTGCAATATGGTTATGAAGTGTTAAAAGTATTTTTTATAAAACAATTCGAAAAAGAAACCATTTCTTATTAGAGTAAAACAAAGTGGTTGTAGAATAGTTTTGAACAAGGGAAAATAGTCAAGATCATAAACAATTAAAGCTCAAAGGAAGCTGTATTTAGAAATAATAGGATGGAACTTTTATGTATTTGCTTTATATTTCTAATAAATAGTAAACATGCGATAAAATGAGTTTGTTTCCGATTTATTTTGTTCAGTATTTTGCTTCGAACTGGTGCTTGATTTCTTCTCAAGATTTCTGTATGTCATATTAAATGGAAATCTACTGAATTTGCATGCAACTCCCACAATACATGTACATTGTGTGTACATTGTATTTCCGAAAAACTATCATCAATAGTACCTACTTGTGTTATTAGAGAGACCCGCCTTTTATTTCTGAAGCACAAATGATTTGAAACGCTATTTTCTTTGATATTTCATCTATACATATTTATACAAATACAATAAAAAGCTGCTGGCCTTTTTAGGAAGTTGAACATTTTGGAAGTATACCAAATGTTGCTGCTGAAAAGTACCAACATAATAGATATAACATTAGTTTGCAGATATAAACTCACTGTCGTGTAATCTAGGGTCCATGGATGAAGTCCTATGGCAGAATTATTTTTATCATTCTTATTTTATGAAAATGGAAATATACAATAAATTTCCTTCATATTCATCTTTGCTATATATAGTAAACGGGTAAGGAAATTAAGTCAGAAAAAATGGTGAACACATTTAAACTCTTTCTTTTTAAAGAGATATATCACACAGTACCTGGTCTGACTCTCTATACCTTAAAAGAGTGTATACCGATGGGTAGGACTTAGGTACTAATATCAATACCTGGTCTTCTCTGCCCTGCAATATATATAACAAAAAATCTCTCGTCGTCAGAAAGCTACGTTATCGCAGCTATGTATGTTTACAAAATTTGTCAGCCTGGACTTCCAAACAATATTTGAAATGTACAATTATCTTCGAAAATTTGATAGTTTAAAAGTTCACTTAAACCATCATTAGGAAAAAATAGGCAAGTTTCATATACAATATGGTACATCTACTCACAACTTGTGTTATACTTTATATAACAATTTGTTACATTTATAAATGTACACTTTGTACCAGAATGTATACCATACTCTTGTATGCGCTAATTGTTTTTTGTTAGTTGACTGATTTCATTGTTCCCCTCAAAAAAATAGTTACAGTTTTATACCAACATCACCAACTTATATAGCGTTCCTGGTAACCACCTGCTGATGAATCATGCAGTGGTTGTGACATTCCTGTACTTAGAGTGGTCTCCCCTATCAGAGACAGCTTATTTCAGGCGTAGGTTGGGAAGGTTACTGATCTAGTTCAGAAATTCCAATAATATGCAATGTCTTATACGTAAGCCGATTTTTAAAATCTGAAATATATTAAATCAACATCATTGTAATATAATCAAGCAATATCACTGACATTTCAAAGGTCGAAATCATAAAATATCAATTACGGAATGACAGACTTCCCCGGTTGGTGGACTGGTCCTCAATGTTATGGTAGAAGCCGAATCTCGGATACAGTGACCACACGTTTGTGATGACAGAGACAAGGCACCAGGGCGTTATGACACACGTCCAATAGATAAAAGCGAATCGTTCCACTATGGAGTAGTCCGTACACGCGTTTACCGTCACGTGCACACACATACATGCTATCGGGCACCTGCCATCATCAGCCGACAACCATGCCATCCAACATTCATCGTCTGTGTTTTTCTACAATTTTCGTATTTCTCCTCCTGGACTTAGCCATCTCACAGGATATACAAGCCTTCTTTCAAGGTACGTTTAGCATTTGCTAGTTATGTTTACAATGTGCTATAATAATTAATAAGCGCCACTATACGGAAATAGCCAGGATAGCGACTGTACTACTATAAAATGTCAATCAACAAATTGAAAGTAGACATCGGAAGCTGGCACCATCTGTCATCGGTGTCTGGGAGAAGCTAAAAAGAAGGACGAGGAAGGTTGTCTGTTCATATTTGTACATATATAGTGATATATCGCATGTCTTTCCAGATTTTCTTGGAAAGTTTTGAAACACGGAATTGATTTTTTATAAATTATCAATACCTAATAATTAATTAACTGTTAATTGAATGTAAGAGTTCACCTTTTACTAAGTGTAGTTGATTGAATACAGGTTGATTGAGGTATTACAATAGTTTGTTACATTACGAAATGTGTTTTGGTAATGCATATTGTATTGCAAATTTACACTATATACCTTACCACTGCTCAGCAATTAAATTTGTACATGTATGGAAATTTAAGATTTGAATATTTTTAGTAAATTTGTCAATTTCTAGGAATTTCAACTTGTTTGGGTGAGAATATTCCATGGCACGTGTATTGATTATAATCAAGGTCTCACAATGGACACACATTGTTTATTATATTGTTATTCAACCCACATAACATTTTTTTTAAAGGTCAATTACTACAGAAATGGGAACTGAAACACCAGTAAAATCGAATTTCAAACTGAGACTATCAGTTATAACCATGAAAAGATATAGGTGCCTCTTGAAATTTCTGATTACAGTGTATGTAATGTAGTAATCATAGACGTAATATATATATACAAGGTTTTTAGCAGCACATGTCACACCTGTTTAGAGTGATTCAATATATCTCCTACTGCTTAAACAGCAACGTTAACAGTAAGTAGAACTTTAGTACTGATCTGTACTCTAGTCTTCCACATGGTTGCAGACAGCTGGGGTTCTATCCCCAAAGTTGTGATAGCCTGGAATATTCAAGAGTACAAGAATTCCCCTGACGGCTCCATATGCCCAGATGGATTATAAATGTTCTGAGGTGTATGTCGTCCGTGCTTTAACATTCAAGTAAAGTGCACGTGCCACCAGGAAAAAAGATGCCGTTTGAAGCATGGTCCCACTGCAAAACAGAACAAAATACCTCTCCAGCATATATACGCATGCATAAAAAGACATGGAGACATAAGCCAGGTGGCAAAGGGCTAGTAGTTATAGCGCCTGATATTGAAGGCATCTCCAGCAATTAAGTTCCTCAAAAACTGTATTGACACATGTGTTGTATAATTCATTGTATGAAGCAACCAACCCAGGAAAAATGCAAAACTAATCGCATTCTCGCATAATGAAAGTGTCCTTTTAATTAAAGTTTGACCATAACATTTTGTTGAGTTACGACATGAACTACCAGCCGATTGCACGCGACTTGCCCCTTATTCAGAGGACCGACCATCATCCCAAATGCACTTCACATATGCATGCATTTCTAGCTTGAAATAATATGGTTTAATTGATTGGGTGAATGATTGAACAGTTTAATTCTAGGAATAATTATGATATGTAGTAAACAAAACATCAGAATCGACACAATAGATCATACCATGTATAGTTCATATGTCGTTGTAAAGTAATTAAGTTCAAGTATGTAATTAATAAGGAAAAATATCATTTCATATTGATAAGAATCAAAACATTTTGTGGGTTAGTTAATAACATTATGTTCAGTGCATAGCTTTGTTTAATTAGTGATGTTTAATTAATAATCGCAGAAGGGAGTGTTTTCCTGAACACATTAACTAAAATAAATGAAAACCTGCAGTAATGTATATTTTTTAGTTCACCCAAAGGAAGAAAATCTCTTGGTTAAAGGCTAGATGCAAGGACACTTGCGCAATGGAAATGGATGCCCTTTACTATGAAAATCATCAATATTAGCAGTTATGAATATTAATGGTTTTGGAGTTGACACATCAATGAATTTATGATGACTTAAGGAATTGATTTTGTCAAATTAAACTTGCTCACTAAAAATTCAGTTCGAATGATCACCAGGCAGCCCTTTACCAAACACGATCGATGGTCACTAAATTTATCAAACAATAGATTTTGTATTTCGTCAAAACCAATTGTTTGACAATCTTTTTAAATCATACTTGTATAATTATGTCAAGTATGGTTGTTAAACATCAGTTGGTGGTTGCTAGTTGGGTACCTTACAAAAAAACCCACCAAAAAACTACAAAAATAAAATGGCAATTAAGTTCACAGCAATTCGTTTTCAGTCAGTAGATAAGGTTTGGAAATCTTAGCCATATACTGTAAATTACTTCAGTTTCACAGGAAATCAATTTCTGTGTTTTGTCAAGAGACTCATTTATTATGAATTTTGAAATCTTTCGCAAATATTCATTTACTTCATGGATAATTACTCAGTAATACCCAAATGGAAGTTCAGGGGATCCTGGAGGTTACTGTGCAGAAAGGAAAAACCTCATGTACTAGTGCAATGGGACAGGGATTTAGTGTTTGCTGAAATTGACTTCCCCCTGCTGTCTGCTTATTGTTCTAGCTCTGCTGCTGTAGACTAGTGAGAACAGTTAAAGTGCCAGTCGCGTCGACACGCACGCAGTAGAACTTCCGTAGTCGGAAAGTAACAAATTCAAGTTTTAATATGAATGAAACACATTAAGTCCCAGTGGACCGCTGTCAACACATACATTATTTACTGGACACAAAGCCAGCCAACATGGTAATAAGGGAAACAACAAAAGGGCGGAATCAATGTTGTAATGCAGAAAATGAATATGTCACAACAAGGTCGTATTTCAAATACTCTGTTAACTCATTCACCCCTGAAAATTCATAATTAACTATTCCAACCTTTGAATTGGAAGAGTTCAAATGTGTCTTTAGGGGTGAATGAGTTAATGATAAATTAAAATATCAATATTGGCGTATAGTTCACAATCCTTCAAAACAAACAGGATTGAAAGTAAAATTATAAAAAAAATATACCAACAACAGAATGGATATTATCAAGACTGAATTGAGGCTGGATGTTATGTTTCTATATATTAAAAGTCTACAGACCAGAAGCTGTTGCTTAGTTCTAGGTCCATGTATACGTACATGTACATTTTATTATAAAACACCCAGTACATAAGGTGTGATATTTAAATGATCAAGTGGCATATATTTGCAGTACCAATCATACAATCTGTATATCTTGTGTAGAAGCCAGCTGTGTCAGTTTTGATATTGAATCTCATTTATGAATGTTGCATTTTGATTTATAGGTATACCATGAATTTTATAAGAGTCAATATATATACTGTAGGAATGGATATATCATATATATATATATATACATATATATACACAGCATTGTATGAATATTTTTACCAGCTTATTATACAAAAAATGATATCGTTTGTTAAAATTAGAGTGAAAAAATTATCAGTCAAGAAATATTAACAAGTTTTAATTTAAATGTTCTCATGTAGAGATCAGAATTAGAAGGGCCTGCTGTATGACTGTGTAAGGGTAATGATAAATATAAAGTTGGCCCTCTGCTGAATCGGAGGTTGTTTTTCTAGGGTGTGTTCTCTGTGTTCTCATGTTGGTGAAACAGACATATTACCACAATGGATATGCTGTCCCATTGTAACACTTGGGATGATAGACATGTATGGTCATTATTATTACATGCCAGTTGTATAGGTATAAGGCAACCTAAGTGAAGTATAATGCTCCCGTATCAAAATTCAGTATGTTTGCACCGTCAGTAGATTTACTCTTTTGTCATATCTTTTTTGGCTGTCGCAGAGATGTTTCTCCTAAAACAAATACACAGTGTGTCCCATGTTTATGGATAAGTACATCACATTCGTATAGTTCAACTGGTATCTGGGCCAGATTGTCAGATACCAGATAGTTCAGTTATCAACTGTACGTGCCTGCAGTTTGGAGGTCTCAGGTTCGATTCCCAGTCTGGCTATTGCCCGTTCCAGTCCTGTAACATTTGATGGCCAACTAAATATACTTATGGAAGGTAGTATGGGTTTCATGTGTCTTGAGGGTCAAAGACTTTGCTGCAGAGCGAAGACCAGCTACTCTCCATGACCTGACCTGACCTGACCTTTGCATCTGTCTGTCAGGCCATGGCCACCTCAAACTGCTGGTCTTAGTTCTTGATCCATACAGGAGAAATTCACTGTAAACCTGAATTATAATCAATAGATTTTCCCCTTGTATTTAAGGAATGATTTTTATTTTTTCAACATTTATGAGGTCATAACAACAATGGGTTTATGGACATATTGAATGAATCGCGTTAGCGATTCATGTAAAATATGTCCAAAAACCCATTGTTGTTATGACCTCATAAATGTTGAAAAAATAAATATCATTCCTTATATTTACATTGACGAATCCTTTCAGTGGATCGATATAACAACGAATAAAACAAATAAACAGGGTTTGTTCCTGCTTATACACGGGTGCAACGCAGTGGCGAGAACAGTGTTTTTTCGCGGGGAAATGTGACACTATCGTGAGAGATCTTAGCAACCGTCAACAACAATAACACAACAAAATGTAGTTCCATATTCAATGTTTATTTGTAGCACAGGACACGTAAATACGTGGATATTTCACAAAGCACAGTTCAATAATATTTTAAGATGTAAGAATTAAGCATCTAGGTCGGTCGTTCCGAGTGAGTAGTTTTTGTAGTGTATTACTACGCAGTGTGATCAGGTTACTATCAGTTTCCACGTGCTGAGATTCTATGAACACCTGTGTTATGCATTTATGAATGTAATTTTTGTCAATGGGTCTAAGCATACAGAATGTAAATATAATGATATAATAAGTAATCAATTAACTTTGTTCATTTATTGGTATAATAAATAGTTGCTAAATTTACGGTATGATCAATACTCAATAAGGAAATATTGCACACATTTCAGGGTACAATGACAGACTATCATGATGTTAGCA